TTTGAATACGCTGCCTGAAGTCTGAGACATTATTTTACGCTAGTTTTAAAGTAAGATTTTGTCCTAAAAGATGTTTTCTAAAATACATTATGGAGGTGCATGCAGGACATTATAGACAAAACAGTCCACAAAGAACACTTGCTGTTTTCAGATGTACCACTATTTTGGTGAGTTCTCTTCAATGAAACATTTTACATCAACACTCTGTAGTTAATTAGCCAAGACTGAAGTGTCTGAAGTTCACTTATTTAGTTTTATACTAGAGCTACAAGGCGAATGTAGCTAAAAAGTATTAAAAGCATATAGCCCACCTGTTAGCACTGCGCCTAAATCATCACACTGTTGCCTCAAGCTGTGCAGAGTTGTTAAGTAAGAGACCTGATGATGTCGTTTCTGATACTCTCTGACACACTGAGTGTGTTTACATGGACTTGTTAATCTGATCATAATCAGATTTCTGCAGTTATCTGATTATTCACATGGTCAAGTAAACACCATACTCCGATTTCCTAGATCAGAATAAGGTCTAGAAATCTGATTAAGAAATCTGATAAAGAGGCTGGATTTCAGCTCAGTAATCAGATTTCTCAGTGTAAACTCTTACTCTGATTTCTTTCTGATTTCTCATTCTGCACATGAGTGAAAACAGACGGCGGTACCGGTAATAAGCTAGCAGCGTTACCATGAGACGCAGCGAAACACTTTTGGAGTGACGCTGAAACCGACTACATGCTTGACGGAATGAAGGATTTAAATATTCTTCATCTTCTACATCATGTATGGTCATATTTTCAGGTAAAGTGGCATTGTGATTTTAAAAAAATGCATGAAGTTCGAGTTTTACATTAGGTTTACATCGTGCCTTCCTTATAGGTTTCTTGGCTGGTTGTAAAGCAGAAATCTGATTACTGTCTGACTCATGTAGACCTGGAGTTTCCCCATTATCTGAATACCCAGGTGCATGTAAACGTGTTAATTGGATTACTGACAAAATCTGATTTCCTGCAGTTATCGGATTAAGTGCATGTAAACACACTGTTTTCTAAAAAAGGGTGATACAAATGTGTGTATAGAAGCTGCCACAGTGTGTGAATCTACCAATTGATTAATTGTGTATATTTGTTTTTTTAATGTAATTATTCCTTTAAATGTTCTAACATCCCTGCTGTGCGTGTGATTAACTGCTCTCATGTCTCTCAGGGTGTGTTCTGTGCTTCATCAGGCCAGACCATGTGGCTGCCATGACTGCATCATCCCATTAAGAACTGCAGTCTCTTCGACTACGCTTGGCTGAGGAGATATATCACTGAAAGAAACAAGGCAAGGGAAAGACCATCTGCTCAAAACCCCCTCCCTTCCCAAATGGCTTCATATCCCATGAACAGGTTGTTTCATTCTGTTACAGTAAAAGCTGTAATTGGTTCTGTCACTTGTCTGTATGTGTCTTTATTTACTCAGTTCCGTGGTAGGCATGAAAGAGACTGAAAAAAGAGGTAAAAGTCTGAGTCGAGTATCGAACCTCTAAAGTGAGAGTCCGAGGCCCAGTCCCATTTCTTATTTTTACCCCTAACCCTTGTTTTTGAGTGTCACCTTGCTCCTTAGAACTGAGTTACAGGGTAGTGGTTGTAATCTCCCCTCTGAAATGGGACCCTCAAATAAAAAGAGCATCACTTCATTAACAGCTACCAGCGCTGCTCTGTAGTCGACCCTGCCAGTCTGCAGTGACAGCAGAGGAGGGTAAAGTTCAGCTCCTCACTGCTGGGCTTTAGTTACATTTAGGACAACATATATCTTAAAAGAGGGGGACAATTATTTATTATCACCCACCCCTAATTCTTCCGTGTTATATAGCAGAAGTCAGTTTTTTTCGACAGCTTCTCTTTTGAATTTTCCCGTTCCGCCTTAAATGAAGCAGCAGTTACATTCTGGTGCTTCAGGCGTCAGAACTGCAGGACTATTTAAGGTGGAACGGGAAATTTAGCTAGCTAGCTACTGAGACGTTAGCATACTACTACTGATTTTTTATGCTTGTTAGGGAGAAAAGGGAACATAATACATTGAAACAACATTAAACTAAAATAATAAGATGGTTATTGTAATTTTTAACTCACATTTCTCACATTTGTGGGTTTCTTTGGTTCTTTTTTTTCTCATAACACTCCTTGGAGTGTCTGAAAAACCTCTGTTTGGAGGGTAGCCCTAACATTTCACCCTACCCCTCTATCTCAACAAGAATTGGGACACCCTACACCTAGATGTGAACAGGCAAAACGGAGGGCTAAGGGCTCAATGGTAGGGCAGAGGGGTGAAATGGGATTGGGCCCAAGTCTCTGAGGAGAGTCTGAGTCAAGAGTCCAACTCAAGTATCGAATCTCTGAGGTGAGAGTCCTGAGTCTAAGAGGTGAGTCCAAGTCTCTGAGGTGAGTCCAGGTCAAGAGTCCGAGTTTTGTCTCGAGTTTGAGGTGCGAGTCTAAGTTAAGTCTTGAGTCTCTGAGGTGAGAGTCTGAGTAGAGTCACAGGTCTCTGAGTTGTGAGTTCGTGTCTAGTCTTGAGTCGCGAGTCTATGAGGTTCAAGTCCAAGTCAAGTCTCAAGTCTCTGAGGTGCAAGTCCAAGTCGAGCCATGAGTCTCTGGGGTGAGAGACTGAGCCTAGTCTCAAGTCTCTGTGGTGCAAGTCTAAGTTGAGTTTCAAGTCTCTGAGGTGAGTCCGAGTTGACTCCCATATCTCTGTGTTGCGAGTTTAAGTCGAGTGTCTAGTCTCTGAGGTGTGAATTCGAGTCAAGTCTCAAATCTCTGAGGTGACATAAAACAAAGGCATTCTCTGGTCACTGCATTTGTGGAGATGTTTTTGGATTCAACTCTTGGTTTATCGTAGACGTTTGCCTGCTAGCCCATGAATCCAGATGAGTAGCAAATTTCTATAGAGAGGGAAAAATGCTGTTTGCTGCTGGCTACTCAGACTAGTCTGAACAAGCTCGGAAGAACAAGAGGAGGACGAGAAGGTCCTCCAGAGAGGTTATGCCAGATAAGTTTGTTTGGGACAAAAGGACACATGCCATTCTTCCATTCCACTGAGACATCAGCCAGTTGCATTCTCAGGGACCTGTGGGTGGTATATGTCACAGCTGGGATCAAAGCCAAAATCCTGACGTCTGACTGCTGCCATGCTAAACAAAAAGAATGCTGATAGAAGTGCAACAGGCACAGTGTCGCTGCTACACACTTACACATCGGTGTCACTGCTAGGTCGAGAGTCCACCGCTGACTCTGTGTCAAGTCCTTTCACCTGACCTCATACCAGCTTCAGTTTTAGTGTCCTCTCTTCTTTTCTTTCTTTCTACTCCAGTGCCTGTCACCAATTCACACCCAGCCCCACCAGTCCAGCCTCCAGAGATGGTCTTGTCGTCAGAGATTCTGACCTTGTTTAAAACTCCTCATAAACTTTGTCATTCTCTTTGTTTCTACTCTCTGGTGTTTTCATGTATACTTCTTCTGTTTATTTAACGTCTGATTATGGATCCACCACATGTTGTCTGGCTGTTTTCTGACCTCTGTCTTGGAATTTGTTGTGATGGCATTCTGAAGCAAAAAGACTTGCAATTATAAGCACATTTGTCTCCCTTCAACTCATTAAATCCCATATAGTTTATATCTTACACACATACAGATCAATATAAGTAGTTTCCATAGCTGAAATAATAATAAAAAAAAAATCAGGCCAGAAACTATTAAAATGGTAACATTTCTTGATTGAGTGGTTTAGTATAATAGCTTGCTTTGCTATTGGTGTGTTAAAACATCGATAATAATGAAATAGCTGTCAGAAGAGAAAAATAAAATTAATACAGATGATTAGATGTTTGATTTAGCTGCGAAATCACATTTGAAATGTGTTAATGTTGATTAAAGTCTTGAAATGTAGCATTCAGTAACTAAATTACAAAATATTTCTGTTATTCTTAATTATTCTGTAACTGCTATGAAACATGTATGTAACACTGAAGTACAGTGCAACTAATATTTAAAGGGGGTTCCAATGATTATTTAAAAAATTCTGCATAATTCAGTGTGTGAGATGTAATCAGAGTGAGTCAGGGTGGTTTGGTGTGAAATGGTTCAGATGTCTTTACAGTGGTGGTGATAGGAACCAGGGGTCGCCATGACTACAACACAAATATAGACATTTTATTTACTATCCAGAGCCACCAGTGAACCTACACGAGCCTTCTGAGTTTATATGGAATATTGATGATGGAAAATAGTGATAAATTTGGAATAATAGGTTTTCTTTTGGGCCTATTTTGTCTTACAACACCCTGCATGTATCTTTCCACTGTGAATGTTTTTAAAAAACATACTTTACACCCAAACTCTTTAGATGTCTTGCTCCTAATACTACTACTGTGAACAATTCTTACTCAAATTGATGGAGTTCCCCTTTAAGCTATGCAATTAGGAGACTGAGGAACTGAAATGTGGATCCACAAATGGGCCCTGAGGGTTAATCATGTGTCGAATAATAATAAAGCGATTGTTTATGACCATAGCTCATGGACAGGACAGTCTGTCTGAGAGTTCACTATAAAATAATCAAAAACTCGTGTCCATGTGTGCACAAGTGGGCCAAAGCTGTGCAGAGGTACATGTGAAACATAAAAACCCAGTCAACTGGGTGAGGAATAGCCAGAGATGGAGATGCTCAGAAGTCTCTTGCTACCATCAAAGACACAAACACGCACTGTCCCGGACAAGGATCAGTTCAAAGATGTTGAAGATGCAGCCCCCGTCATTCAAAACATCAAAAAAATCAGATGTTTTCCATTGAAAGCGCACCGCCCAGCGGAGACCCGTAAAGCTCACAGAAGTACATCAGAGAGAAAGTGAGGGAGAGGAGAGGAGGAGAGAGAGGGGGGAGGAAAATTCTTGAAGTATGAGAAAATTTTACAGCTCCCCTCCCTCCTTCACTCTTTCTCTTTCTTTTCTCCCCCTCCTTCCCTCCCTCTCTCCCTCCCTCTTAGCCAGTCAATCAGTGCTTTCTAAGATCAGAGATAGACCAGGAGAGGAAGAGAGAGAAGGCCTTAAGTGACCGACTGAGAGCTGACCTAGAGCATCAAAGTACCAAGACTCTTCAGGTAAGACTTTGGGACTGACATGCTGCTGTTAGATCACTGTTCTCCTTACCCGAGTTATTTTTATTGTCCTTACCTGTGTTTTGTAATAATATTCAACTAACTAACCCTCTGTGGTCACCCATGGTATATACTGTTGAATGCAAAAGTTTGCACCCTTGGTCAAATTACTTTTTCAATTTCTAAGTGCAAATAAGTGAACACATCCTCTACAGGGAACACACTTCTGCACATTTACTGCACAATTACTGTTTATTTACTGAATTTAACATATTGAAAAACACAAAATATAAACTGTGGCCATGCAAACGTTGTGGCAAATCGTTTTATTTCTTTACAATATGTTAAACTCAGCAAAAAATGGAATTGTGCACTATTGTGTGCCAAAAAATGCCATCAAGTTTGAAAATCAACAAAACTTTGGAATTTAATTTTATTAAATTTAATAGGGGGTATTCTTTTGCACACAACTGCATTCCCCTAAAACTCTTTTCTTACATTTTATATGAATTATTTCTCACCCATTCCTCACTGAAACTAATAGAGAAATTCTGCAGAAAGTGCAGATTCTAAACTTGTAAAAGTGAAGATTCAATCCACACCATATTTATGTTTGTAAGCAGGAGATATTTTTATGACTTATATTTGATGAAAAGCAATTGTTGTGTGTGGTCTTGTTTTGCATCCTTTGCATCATTGCCATGTTTTTCATTTACATTAAAAGAAGGAAAAATTGTTATAAGTGCAAAGTTAAACTTGATACAGAATTCAAATCAAATGTAAATTTAACTCATGATCCAGTAGCGCTGCAGGTTTGCAGGATTTTCATTACTGCTGCATGTGCTGTTTTTGACTTATGATCAGATATTGAACTGTGTGGCTCTGCACAGGGCAAAAGGCTGAAAGCAGATTTGCTATTAAGAACTATGCAGTATACATATTAATTTATTACTGCAGAGGCAGAAACTCATGCTGAGAAAATGGATAGAAAAGAGATGAAACATCCAAGATCCTCAGTATTTTCTGAACAGTTCAATTAAACTTAACAATTACCGAACTGTACATTTTATTTTTATTTCTTTTTTTATACAAACATACCCATAACCTCCCTCTTGCAATGTTTAAATCCTTTAAAAACGTAAAAAAAAATAAAGTACGAATGAGAGATCTCAATGCAGAGCTATTTATTTTCTCAAAAATGTATCCAAAATATGTCTAGCATACTTCCAGAGATTGCTGGGAATGTGAGAAACGTGGTTTTATTTACACAATTAAGGTCTCAAATATCCAAGCCAGTGAGTTATACTCACGTTATAGATGAGTATAATGAGCGTCTGGACCTGCTGGCGGCTCCTGACCAGTTAAAACCGACCTCATTCGGAACCAATTTGTGTGTAATGATACAAATGAACCTTTTTCCTTGTGCACTCTGAAGAGTTCTCTCTCTGTGTATGAATCACTGTAGTGACAGCAAACAACCAAGGTAGCAACCAGCATTCTTCATTTTCCATCCTTCCTCCTTGTCTCTTGCTGCATCTGTCTCTGCTGCTGGTCATGGCTGTAATTCTCAGAGAGAGGGAGACAGACTGCTAGTGTGAAGCTATAAAGCCGGGAGCGCAGAGATGCAGAGTAAATGGACACAGACTAACAGATATATGAGTGTCTGGGGGGGTGCGTGTATATATATGCAGGAACTGACTCTCTGTGTGTGCTGAATTGGTGAAGTGATTTCTTCAACAGCACGACTCCAGTTTTTTTTCCAGAACTCTGTAAATGGAATAACCTGTTGCTGTTCCAAGTGATTCCCCTCCGTCTTCCCTCTCTCTCCTTTGCTACCATTTCTGTCCCTTGTATATATTTCTTAATTCACGTCTTCCTTCTCCTCCTTCACATCACATTTTAGTGAGGGAAACATTACATTATAAACACGTTGTTTTCTTTTATCCATCATTGAATAGCAGCAGGTTGCAGAGTAAAGTTGCATTGGCTACATCTGTTTTCTGCATTTGTGCTATAACTCTTTAGCAGGGAAAAGGCAGCCTGGGTATCTGCAGTGTCTACTGCCTGGCATTTTTAATGCATGTTTAAACACTGGGAGGAAATTTGGTTGGGTTATAATATTTGCTTTACCAGGTTTTATTTGGCATGCAGACACTGGAGGTACAGAGCAAGTGCTGTGTTGTGTTGTAGGACAGAGCAGTCCCTGTGTTGTGTTCTAGGATAGAGATGTGGGCGTAAAGTGTTTTCCGATATAGCGGCCCCTGAACTGTGCTGTGCTGTAGACTTGACAAGTCGAACTTCTAATAGTCCGTAAGCTGTACTGTGGGACTGAGCATTCCCTGTGCTGTGTTAAGGGACAGAGTGGTCAAAGAGCTGTGTTGTATAGAGCAGTCTCTGGGATTTGTTTTAGGATAGAAGGGTCAAAGAGCTGTGTTGTATAGAGCCATAACTGTGATGCGTTTTAGGATAGAGTGGCCCCAGAGCTGTGTTGTATAGGGCAGTCATGGAGCTGTGTTTAAGGATAGAGTGGTCCCAGAGCTGTGTTGTATAGAGCAGTCACTGAGCTGTGTTTGAGGATAGAGGGGTCAAAGACCTGTGTTGTATAGAGCATTCAGTGTGCTGTGTTTTAGTATGGCATGGTCGAAGATCTGTGCTGTATAAAGCAGTCACTGGGCTTTTTTTTAAGATACAGTGGTCCCAGAGCTGTGCTGTATAGAGCAGTCACTGTGCTGTGCTGTAGGAAGAAGCACTAAAGAGCTGTGTTATCTATTGAGTGGTCGCTTTGTTGTGATAGAGCAAATGTGGATGTTCCAGTGTAAGTTAGAACAGTCACTGTGTTGTACTGAAGGACACAGCAGTCATTGTGCTGCATTTTATAATACGTTGGTGTCTGTGATGTATAGTAGGATAGAGCTATAGAAGAGATAGAACTTGGAAGGATGGAGTGGTTACTGTTATGTTGTAGAAGAGAGCAGTCTCTGTTTTGTCACCGTCACTGTGTTGCAGAAGAGAGTGGCTGCTGTGTTGTGTCATAGGTCATAGCAGTCATTGTGATGTGTTAAAAGTGGGAGACGGCTCTACCTAATAAGTGGCATAAGCAGCTGCTTAGGGCCCCAAAAAAACTTTAGGTAATTATCGTGTTACCATTATGTTGCCAAGATGCTGTAATGGTGGGATAAAGTGACTGGTTAATCACATCTCCAGAAACAAGAGAAGATAAAAGTCATATTATGGTAGTTTTCTATGGTAGTTCACCAAATCTTTTCCATGTTAAACATAAACAAAATTAGACTGAAAATAAATAAACATGCCACGACAGTATTCAGTCTAACAGACACCAATAGGCAACGTCTAATAGGTTACTAACATTGATCATTTAAAACCATAGCTTGAGGCCTCTGAACAAAACTTATCTCCCTTTTATTTTTAATGGTTTACAATGTGTAGGCCTGAGGGATTGGCTAGTAGTCACTGTGTTGTAGGATAAACTAGTTGCTGTGTTATATTTTATGATAGAGCAGTCACTGTGTTGTGGTGTAGGATATAGTGATCACTGTGTTGTAGGGTAAATTAGTTGCTGTGTTATATTTTATGATAGAGAGGTGTGTTGTAGGATAGAGTGGTCACTGTGTTGTGCTATAGGAAAGTGCAGTCCTTGTGTTGTGTTGCAGAATAGAGTGATCATTGTCCTGCAGGACAGAATGCTCCACCTAACGTCCGTGCAGGTCCCCCATGTGTTTGATGTTTTTTACAGCACAAAACTCCACATGGCTAACAGAACCTGCACAGATCTACTGCAGGGGTCAGTGGCAGGGTGAAAGGTCACAGAACTCACATATGCACATATGCTAAGCACAGAGAGGCATGGGACCAACATAATTTTTTACACTGCATTTATTAATTACATGCACATTCAACAGCTTCCCCTTGGTTTAGTAAAAAAGCAGATGGTATTAAACAGTACATGACTCAAATATTACTTTTAAAATAGCCTTTGAAATATGAGTTATTCACTCTTAGAGCTTGTTGTGCTGCTGTCACCAGTGAGGGGACCTCATGTGTCCAGGAGAAAGCCCATATAAGGTGTGGGTGCCATTTACTGAAATAGAGTGTCCTGTTTCATGCTGTTCTGATGAGCGTATACAGCAGACATTCTCCAAATGATTATGATCCATGTGTTGTTCCTAAGTGCAGTTTCAGTATTTCAGGGCAGAACTCCAAAGGCCAAAGGATCTCACTGCAGGAACACTGTTCCTGGATCAGCTACTCTGAGATGTCTGGTGAATACAAGCCTTTTTCAGTCCTTTGGTGGCTTTAAAATATCAAGTAGATTAATGAGTATAAGTAAAAATATTTATATGCATACATTAAGGCAGGGTAAGTCTAAATCATGAAAGCATCCATTTACCAATGAAAAATCTCTTTGAGTTCCTCTTAGTGTGTGGAAATGTACTGAAGCCAAGATGTGAAGGAAAGATCAACATATCACACTACAGACATAATATAATACATTGAAGTATATCCACCATACCATCTCAGTAAAATTATGGAGTTACAACTAAATTTTGGAAGGAGGTCTTTGCCTGAAGTTCCTTCTTCCTATTTAACTTACTTATAATATATCAATATTTAAATGCCTACATTAGGCCAGTCTAAATCATGAAAGCATCCATTTACTAATGAAAAATCTCTTTGACCTTTTGTCCTAAACTCAGTGTTCTTCTTAGTGTGTGAAAATGGACTGAAGCCAAGTTGTTAAGGAAAGATCAACATCTTGCATGATGGACATAGTGTAATTTTTAGAAGTATATCCACAATGCCCTCTTATTCAAATTATGAAGTTATAAAATAGCTACATTTTGAAAGGAAGTCCATGCCTGAAGCTCCTCTTTATTCCTATTTAACTCACTTACAATAGCCTTCTCTACTGTCCATCTCCTGTAACTCCTGTTTTCACACCCTATCTTGGTTCCTCAGTCCTATATGTGTTTATCATGCCTTAGCTTAAAAGAGAAGCTGCCTAGAGCTCCAGCCTCAGAGATCTCAGTCATATAATCTCTTCTCATACTACAAGCATATGTTTAAAGTGTGGACCCCACGCAAATATATTTAATAGACACTCTCATCCAGAGCAACAATGTTAATAATGCCACTGTGCTTGACTGTAGACTTCAAGCCTAAACTGTATGTTCACATTAAGGGGCAACAAGTCGCTAATATTGCCTCAAAATTTTCTCTTGTGGGCATGTGTGAGGTCACTCATGTTATCATGTACACTGTCCAACTTCTGACAAGAATATGTAAGAAAACTATGTATGTATCATCATTTTGTTTAAAATATGAACTGTGGTTTGCAGTTACAAGTTTACGAGTTTCTCTTTCCCTTTTTACTTGATTCTTTTGAGAACATAATGAAATGCCAGTAGGAACAAAAATTTCACACAGTAGAAGATGGGGACCTCAGACCCACGACTGGTCAGAGACATTTGTTGGAGCCAGTTATTTAGATGGTCACTTCAACATAACATAGTTTTCTCTCCTTGACGCAGGGTTAGGGCACGGTTCTCAATCCCATGCACTGTACATGTTTGTATGTTCCCAACTCAGCTAGACCAGTGGTTCTCAATTCTGGTCCTAGGCAGGTTAAGTCTCTATCACGGAAGCTGCTTTGGATAGCTTAGTTCAGTTTTGAGTTAAACCAGACCAACTGTTCCAGGTAAATACAAAAATGTGCACAGGAATGGTATTCCAACAGAAACTCTGGGCTAGATTATTGATTATCAAGCCCTTCATGAGCTCATAAAAGTAGCATGGAGAATAAATATTTAATGTGTATAGTGATCCCAAGACTGGGCTTGAGATGGTGGGTGATGCTAAGAGTTTAATGAGCTGCAGCATGTGCAGCTTTGTACAAAATAAACCAAACAACCATTCCTAGGCAGCACTAAGTAGAAGGAAAGATTGTCCTGTGTGTTTAGCCACTGCAATGTCACTGGGGTATTCATGTGGTGCACAGATCAGTGATGCTTTATCTTGCATTATACTGGCTGCCTTTGTGGCTCATTTCCACTAGCTTTTACCATAAAGTGAAGAACACTGAAACTCACCCAAGCAGGAAAATCACAAGTGGTGAATTAACACCAGTAGTGGATACTGTGAGTCTAGTTTAAACACTGGGGATTTACAGAGCATATGTCATAATGTAATAATAAGCTAAACTATAACAATGTTTCTTTTTTTTTTTTAGGCTATGATGTGGCTTTAAGAGGAGAGGGGGATCAGGTAGTAGATCTACCGAGCACAGAAGAGTGAAGAGCAATAAAACAGAACAGTGAAGAGTAGTCAATTTGGGAATAAAGTTTCACAGACAAATCCAAACCCCTGCCTCCTGGAGTCTTGAGGCAATCACAATAAAAAATGCCCTTTTTCTTCCACCTCATTCTCTTCCTTCTCCCAAGCCCCGCCCTTTTAACCCATGATGCCGCTCTTCTCTCAGTGTCTCAACGTATCACCAGGGACACCAAACCCCAGCCAATTAAAGTGATGATTTCTGAGCCATGCCTGCAGGGCAGTGAACCCTGTGACCCCAGCGAGGCTAAAGGGAAGGAGGTCGAGCTGGAGCCTGGGGCTCCCCTGGTTCTGACTCACCGGATCCACCTGATGCAGGGCTCTGGGGTGGGCTGTGGTGGCTGCAAAGCTGATTTTGCCGTGCTTCGGGCACGCATCGAGAGGCTTGAGAGGGAGGTGTCTGAGCTGAGGGAGAAGTGTGGTGGGCCAGAGGGGGGCTGCTGCACCTCCCAGCAGAGTAAAGGTAGGCCAGCAGGGAGATGTCATTCAGTGTCAAAAAAACAAATCTATTTGAGATTAATCAACAACAAACAGTTTAAAAGAGGCTAATTCATGGGGTATAAGTTCCTATTTCTTGTTAGTTATATTAGCCACGTAGCTCCAGTGCAAAACTAAGGAAACACACTTTAACCACTAAATTAAGTACATTTAAGGTTTCACCAAAGTATTCATTTTTTAAACCCTGTATAAAAAAAGGAATTCCATTGATTTTTTCAAAATGTCAGCATAATTCAGTGTTTGAGATGTAAGCAAAGTCATTCAGAGCAGTTTGGTGTGAAACCACCAGTGAACCTACACAAGTCTTCTGAGTTTATATGGAATGTTGAGTTTTTGAGGGTGGGACTAGAACACATGTATCCCTCCACCATGAATAGATTAAAATAAATTGATTACAGTACATTTCAGGCCAGAACTTTATCACAATACTATTGTAAATCAGTGTCTCAGTCACCAGGCAGTGAATTCATAACTATTTAATGTAGTTACTTTCTGTGAGGGAGCTTTTAGAGGTGGTTGTCTAATTCCTATCACAACCACTGTAAACTGTTCTGACTCTGGAACAGAGCATTTCACACCAAACTACTCTGAATGACTCAACCATTTAATTCTAATAATAATCTACAATTATGCAGAAATATTTAAAAGTTCTCTCTGTGTATGAATCACTGTAGTGACAGCAAACAACCAAGGTAGCAACCAGCATTCTTCATTTTCCATCCTTCCTCCTTGTCTCTTGCTGCATCTGTCTCTGCTGCTGGTTCCCCTTTAAAAAATACCTCACTAGCAGTCAAACGCACATTAACCGAGCCAAACCATGATCACATTAGAAGTTTGGCAGCATATGCACTGATGTCAGTTATCCACTCTTAAATCAGGTCCCTTCCTAATGCTTCAACTTTATGAATGCAGAAGACAAACACACAAGCATGCCATTATCTTCTGCATATAGTGCCAATATATATTTAACATACACTGTTTAAATAAATAGTCTCACAATAGTTGTTTACTTTTTGTGTCTTAACCTTACACCATATAATGTTCTACATTTTTAGGACATTGTTATTTCTATTTCTGTATTTTTGGTTTGAACATTTCTTTAAATAAATACATTTGTGTCACCCAATCTGCAATTCAGCAAAAGAAGGTAACTAAAAAGTAACAAAAGGCTTCTTGACTGCAGTGCTGCCATGATGAACCTCATACGGTTAAAGCAGTAAAGATTATTCACTGTGCTTATAAAAGAACATTAAATATTTAGGGTTTTAAAATGTGAAACACATTTTTACTTGACATGTCATGCAGAGTGTTTCCCCTAAGCAGCAAACAAACATGTGGCCAGAGGCTTTTGGTTACATGAGAAAAGGACAGATAATCATTTATTGAGCAACCCATAAGCGGACCTCTTTCAAAACTTTATCATAGAGATGTGTCCTTCCTGATAGTAATTTCATTCATTTTATCTAAATCTGCTCAGGTTTAGTAGTACTAGTGTTACCAGTGCAATGTGGTTTTCAGTTCAGTTCAGCGTTTATTGTGATATGTTTTATATGCATCATTTGTTTAGCATTTATTAGTCTGAAAAGCTAAGGGATAAACTTGTCCTTAAACCTTATGGCTTTAGTCTGGATGCTACAACAGTGATGAGAACATAAAACAGTCTAAGCATCCCATTTATAGTTTGTGGGAGGCGTGTAAATGGGAAGCGAGTGTGTGATTCTGGTTTTACGGGTCCAGAGTGCTCAGCTTGGACCTGTCCTGGAAATTGCACCAACAGCATTTCCCCACTGCTCATTCCAAAACAGGACCAGACTCAAACAGGAACCAAAGGAACTTACAGTTCCTGTTCTAGTTCATTTTCCACCTGCTTGAGAGACAGCTGGAACCATCACAATAACTGTTTCCTGTGTAAAATCAGGCAAAGATTGAGTATTTTGGCTACTTAGCTTACTATAGCTTAACACTAGCTGTGCTGACAGATGATAATATAGTGTGCATTTCTGATGGTATATCTTCTAGATCAGCAGAAATGAAAAACAGTGAATTGTTTGACTGCCAATCACAAGTTCAGAAGCAAAAACTGTCCAATCCTCATCTTGCATCCTGAATAGATACAGTCCATATTTGGTGGTTTACTTTCCCTCTAGGAGCAGGCTGCACCACCGGGCGTCCGCCAACAGATGAGTGTCCGGACGACTGCAGTGACCAGGGCCGTTGCGTGGATGGGAAGTGTGAATGTTTCCCAGGTTTCAGTGGGCCGGACTGCAGTGAGTCCAACTGCCCTGGCAACTGCAACAACAAGGGAAAGTGTGTGAACGGTCAGTGTGTGTGTGACCCTGGTTTCACTGGTCCAGACTGTTCCCAGGCCGCATGTCCCAATAACTGCAACAACCGCGGCCGCTGTGTTAATGGTCAGTGTGTGTGTGACCCTGGCTTCACTGGTCCGGCGTGCTCTGCTAAAGCTTGTCCCAAAAACTGCAGCAACCGTGGGAGGTGTGTAAACGGGAAGTGTGTGTGTGAATCCGGCTTCACTGGTCTGGATTGTTCTGAAAGGTCCTGCCCGAGGAACTGCAACAAGAAAGGCAGATGTGTGAATGGTCAGTGTGTCTGTGACGCTGGGTTTTCCGGTCCAGACTGCTCCGTCAAGACGTGTCCGGCAAACTGTAATGAGCAGGGAAGGTGCGTGAATGGAAAATGCGTCTGTGAATCGGGATTTGCTGGTCCGGACTGTTCCGAGAAGACCTGCCCTGGAAACTGCAACAATAAAGGCAGGTGTGTCAACGGTCAGTGTGTTTGTGATGAAGGATTCTCTGGTCTGGACTGCTCCATTAAAACATGCCCAGCCAACTGCAACAATAAAGGCAGGTGTGTCAACGGTCAGTGTATTTGTGATGAAGGATTCTCTGGTCTGGACTGCTCTATTAAAACATGTCCAGCCAACTGCAACAATAAAGGCAGGTGCATCAATGGACAGTGTGTTTGTGATGAAGGATTCTCTGGTCCGGACTGCTCCATTAAAACATGTCCAGCCAATTGCAACAATCGCGGAAAGTGTGTGAACGGCAAGTGTGTGTGTGACTCAGGTTTTGCTGGTCCGGACTGTTCTACCAAATCCTGCCCCAACGACTGCAGTGACCGAGGCCAGTGTGTGGACGGCCAGTGTGTTTGTGAGGAAGGTTTCACTGGCCCAGACTGTTCCACTAAGTCCTGTCCTAACAACTGCAGCAACAAAGGCAGATGTGTGAATGGCAAGTGTGTATGTGACATGGGATTCACTGGACAGGACTGCTCTACCAAGTCCTGCCCCAACAACTGCAGCAACCGTGGCCGGTGCGTAAAGGGCAGGTGTGTGTGTCAGCGCGGATTCGCCTTGCCAGACTGCAGCGAGTGCACGGATAGGTTCATGGGGCCTGACTGTGCAATGGGTGAGTTGTCCAGAACTCTCATTAAACCCCTTTATTTTAAAAGATCAATATTCTACATTTTCCTTGTAATTAGTTTTTTCCCCATTTAAATTTGTGATGTACAATCATAATTAATTTTTACATGACCATTTTTCAACCCCTCTTCATCCCTCAGAATTAAACAGGCAGTTTTTATTACTGTGCTTTTAAGACATATGTTATATGATATATGTAAATTATCGCTGTTCTGATTGGCTGACTCTGTTCAAAAGTGACATGAGGCCCAAGCTATGACGGTTATGGGTCTGACAGATTGATAGTCAAAAAAAAAAAAATTAAGAAGAAAAAGAGTTTGAGTCCATATGAATTTCTGATATTCATGTTGTAGCATCACTACGAACGCATTTTGTTTTGACTGTGAAAAACGCAGTCATTGAAATTTCCAAATTCCGTTTTTAATTCTAATTAATACTTTCCAGCTCGGAAATGGTCAGTATTACATATGAGCAACTCCTCTATAGATTGTCTTTAGTCATTCTGATGAGATAGTACGTTATTGCAAAGGGCATAAATCTGGCGCTGGCCTTCGAATATTTAAATTTATTTTGAGACCCTCTTGCTCAGGAGTTGGTGAACGGATGTTTGGCAGTCTCATCCATCTCAATTTCGCAGTTAATGAAAGGAAATGAAGTATAAATCTCATATTTTTTTGTTGTACCCCCACATCATGCCCTAGTTTTAGAATAGTGGCGTTACAGCAAAATCAACCACTGAAGGCATATTTCGGTATAGATTGAAACACTGATTAGGATATTCTCTCTCTCTCTCGATTTAGCAATGGCTGGTGTTTCCCGTCTTAGTACAAGGGACATCACTGAGTCTTCAGTCACTCTGTTCTGGACTCCACCTACTGTGCAGTACGATACTTACCACATCACCTTCACCAGTAAGGTAATCATAAGACCCTTTACATTGTGTTGAAATTTTATGATAAATGAAGCAATATAAATGGTCCACAATTGCTTGGAGAAAATCTTTTTTACATTAAACTCTATTACAAGTTAAGACTGTTTTTCATTCTCCCGTAAGTTCCCATTTTGGAGATGTGAGGTTTTTGTTCTGATAGTGATGATAGGAATTCAAACTGGGGTGGGCGAAACATCATATCATGATACCATTCTAGAGTAAAAAAGATCTTTCAGGGATTACATTTTTCCTTGTGTGACACATACGATTATGCTGGAGTTGTTGCTACCAGTTGAGATATTAAACAGATCTGGGCATGAATTAGAAAATATAATTATTTTTAGGACTGAACGATAGGGTTAACGCTTAACAAAAACAAGTAGGAAAGTCGTCCGTACCCGATACGAGTAACTTAATGTTGAGTGTCATCTGATACCAAGCCAACCCAATAGTGGTATTTTTATAAATACCTAGCTAGGCGAGACTGTTGTTTGTTTCGCAATGGTGACCAGCAGTCTGCGCTGATCTTCAGGGTTAAAGGGTGAAATAGCAGTTCTACATTAACCCTAGAGTTTAAGACCCTTTATTGTTAAACTGTGTTAAATGATCAGCAGAGCTTTATTTTACTGCAAAGGAGGATTATTTTATTTTTACCTACAAATCTAATTCTGTTGTGGAGCCACAAAAGGGCAGTAAAAGAGCTGCATATGGCTCCAGAGCCACGTTGCCGACCCCTGATTTAGACGAAAGACGCTAATTCAAACAGTCAAAACACTAGCACAGCAAGTTTGACATATTCCAACCTAAAACAGTTCAACGCTGCAGACATTTAGATATTTTTGTTAGCTTCTGAAAATACACCTCACAGCTGCAGGTTGGGGTTGTCTGTTTACCTCAGTGACAGTCGGCTCAATAGAGCGCAAAAAAGAAAGGATAAAAAAGGATAGGAACTGGATCTGGCTGAATTTAGCTGATACGCCATCTATTACATATGTCTAGATTGGCCCTAATGACAAGCAATAATCAATCAAATACAGAGAACTTGATCAGAGTAATCTGATTTCAAACAGTTTGTCAAATGATATCAAAGAATTCTCTAAATATTCTGTACTGTTATTAACCAAGGTTTGGCGAAGCAATGGACTGTTACAGAGCATTAAAAAGCTCTTGGGGAGAAAGGGTCAAACTGGTAGTAATAAAATCGGTAATCCGTACTGTAATTATCTCTTTATTCCCTACTCCCTTCTCCCAGCTGTATAAAGCAGTTCAGCACAGACGGGATCCCAGCAGGGGCTATTTAAGGTCACGGCACCAATTTTACGACACACGCCTCTGAGACAGGGCGAATCGAAGTGAAATGAATAATTCCCATCTGACGTGTGTGCAGATGTGCAAGCGGAAAGGCCTCAGACAGCAAAAGGCTTGTGGCTATTTTCTAGGAACTGTGTCCTCTCTGTACAGGACCTTTCACTCAAACATCACTTGCATCACTGTTTAGAATTTCATGTTGCTGTTGTTGTTTTGTTAGGCAGCTGAAACCTAACAATAAAAAAAACAAAACTGAAATGCTTTGGCAGCGTTAGCCTACCCATTGGCATTTTTTTATTTGTACACTGGTTAGTCTTTATTATAGCACATTTTTGCAAGTCAATGCAAGCACATGCACTCATCTGCATTAAAAAAAAACATCATGAAAAGCTAACTTTTGATGGCCAGTGTAATAAGAACATGGCTGTGGAAAAAAACAGTCACTGGCCTTTGATATTTATCTAAAGGAGGCCTTTGATTTAGCACTTTCAGACAGCCAGTGCCAGTCTCTCCTCTGGCAGCAAAGCATGTAATCACAGTAGCCTTATTCAAACACAAGCAAGGAGCTACCTCCTGGTTTGAATATAGCACGCTACAACTCCCAAGGCCTCCGATCAGGGAAGCGTTCAGTGATGAATGAGTGCATAAATTCAGACTTTATAAGCTGTGGTGCATGTCACTAAATTCTTGACATTGATGGAGTGCTCTGAGTTTGGGTCCAAGGTCCAAGTACTGCATCTTCTCCTGGAACCAAACTACGCATTATACATCTAAAACTTACTTATTTATGGGGCGGGGGTAGTTTTACTGTTTTTCACATCTTAGAATATAAAAAGTGAGAATTAGAGGCCTTGATACAGGTTTACGCTCTCAGAGTTCTCTCGAACAACTTCATAAGGGGCCTTTGGAGAACATTTTCCAACAGGCTTGAGGAAGACACATATTTACTGAGCTTGTTGTCTTCTGAAAACAACATGTTGGGGAGGCATTATTTTTTTGTTTAGTGGTGTCAAATTTATCTCATTGACACATTAACATATTACATATATTAACACCACAATTTTTGGCAACACTAATT